ATATATATATGTAAAAATCGATTATTATTTATTTCGTGAATAAATATCAATGTATCACTTATGCTTATAACATACGTCTTACTACTGCGGATGACCATATTTCACTACTTTGACCCTTTATATCTTGGGAAATATTGACTTTTGGGACTTGGTGCAATGATAACTTTTTATCAACATGGCGAAAACTATAACATAATGAAATTTCAGCCAATTTGACCGAAAAACCATTTTCCATAGGTTTTGTGCGGGATCCTTTAGTAAACGCATCGATAATGATAAGTAAGTGTCGATAGCCTTTTCCCGTTTTTTCTAGTGGACCAAAGTGATCTATATGTATAGTAGCAAACGGCAACTTCTCCTTTGGAATGCTGTGTAAAAATCTTTCTACTTTACCACTCGATAGTGGGAATTCAATACAACGCAAACAATTAGCAATATGATCCTTTACTTTTCCGCGCATATTTGGAAACCAATAAGTTTTTATAATGTTTCCGACAACCTTATCAAAACCGACATGTCCAATATCATCATGACATGTTCTAATTACATTTGACTCGTTTGATCTCGGCAAATAAAATAGCAATTTTTTATTTTTGTTTTTTCGATAGACAAAGCCGTCGCGCAATTCGTAATGTTTTATATCATCTTTCTCGAGTTTTTCGCGAATTTTAAGAATTCCATCATCTCGATTTTAACAAATAGATAATGTTCGTTCGAACGTATTACCCTCGGGAGCGGTGCACTTGGACACGGTGCATTTGGACACAGCCAATCACAGCACCGTGTGATTAGAGACATTTGTAGGGTCCCTTGGAACAGCCACTTGTGATTGGACTGTGTCCAATTGCCCCGTGTCCAACTGATATACACCCATTACCCTCGAATATGCTGTGACATCGACTAATGCCCGATTTCTTCATACCTCCCAACAGCTATCTTCCAGATAAAGATATCCGGTAGATAACTAAAACTTCGTTTTCTTCACTGAAACCTCTGATTACGTATCTAACGCATAGCTATTCTTCATACTACAAACTTTCGGCACAAAATATACTAGAATTTAACTATAAATTACCATATTCTGTCACCGACATGTTCTTCTCCGGGTCAGTCATTTGATACCAATATATTCTTGTAAGTGAGGTTAAGTGAGGTTTACGAAAATAAATATTATATATTTTTGGTGAACTTTTTCAAGAAAGTGGAAAAAACATTTATCCGGCTCAATGGACAAAGAAAAAAGGGGAGCGAATTTTACAAAAACTGAAATTGATTTGTTAATTGACGTTACATTAAAATATAAACATATTGTCGAAAATAAAAAAACCGATGCAACAACATGGAAAGACAAAAATGAAGCTTGGGAGAAAATTTCCAACGAATTTAATGCTGCATCAGGAAATTTTCCTCGCTCCATAAAAACGATTCGTTCCAAATATGACACAATAAAAAAAAGTATTCGCAAAAAATGCTCGTTGCTCAAAAGCGAACAAACAAAAACTGGTGGTGGTCAGTGCGCAGTGACTTTGACTCCAAGTGAGGAGAAAGTATTATCATTAACACCAAACACCATGGTGGGTCTCAAATCCAGATTTGACAATGACTCGGAGTATGTATAATTTATTACTATTATATAATTACACATAAATGAAACATGTGACATTATGAAAATCTAATCTTCTTTCAGAGCATGTACAAGTAATGTAAAACAGTGGATGACACAACAGGATGTAGAAGATGGTTAATAATATCTAATATGTCTAATACATGTTTAAATGTAAGTGTAGTCCGATTTTTTTATAATATTATATTGTGTTTTAGAGTCAGAACTTCGTGTTACGGAAGATCTCATTGAATTCCTTGAAGATGGAGATGATAGTTAGTATTTAAAAGTATGAACACTCTCT